AATAAACAATAAAAACAATAACAAAATAAACCAAAGTCACTCATGCGTCTTCGCATTCATCCTCCTCTTGTAAATATCCCTCAATCCCGGACTATTCCTCGGCATATCCTCGTCACTATCCGAATCCGCCCCTGCCGCTCGTCTCTTTCGATTCTGAATCGATGCCTTCTGCTTGTCGTATTCGCTTGTTGCCAACACCTTTAATATTTATTATATATATACATTATTATTATACATATACACACTACATATATTTATTATTATATATTATTATTATACATATAACACATATTCATCATCATATAATCAAATTTAATCACATAAACATGACAAATAAAACAATAATAACAACAAATACAATGATAACTAACAAAAATAATAATAAAAATTATAATAAATAATAAAAATACAATAAAAAATAATAAAAAATAATAAACACAACACTAAAATAAACCAAACTCACCACATTCGGGTCAGTCGTCGTCGCTACGAGCTGATAGAAATCCTTCTTAATATCCTCTATTCGATGCTTTCCAAACATTGTACCATTTTCTAATTTTTGAGTTGGATCCACTGTTGGAGCTAAATATTTTATCCATTATCACATAAACAAATAAATAAACAAACAAACAAACAATAAACAAACAAAAAACAATAATAAACAATAACAATATATAATAATAATAATAATAATAATAATAATAATAATAACAATAATAATAACAATAAATAAAAACAAAACCCACGTGCAGTCTGTCCAAATTTCAGCAGGCTTTCCATCAGTAAATCAATCGATACGAACGGCCCATTAAAACACCACGGCGGCGGCAGCAGCTGCATCAGATGCGCTGCGGCTTGCGGGGGCGGGAATATACCTACAATTTTAAACAATAACAACAATAAATAATAACAATTCCCAATAAATAACAATAAAAACAATAATAATAATAAATAATAACAATAATAAACAATAAAAACAACAACAAAATGACAAAAAATACCCCCTGGGACCGGATGGTAGCTCGCTATCGTATTAATCTTCGGCTTGAATGGTATCATTTGGTCCGTATCGGGTGACGGATACCCACTTATCTCCACGCTCACCCCTCCACCCATCACCGTCGACGGTCCTTGCGCGTTGCCGGGCAGTTGACGTGACGATGACGCCACTTAATTAATTTTATTATTTATTATTATATAATAATAATAAACAATAACAATGATAAATAATAATAAACAATAAAAATAACAACAAACAATAATAAAAAATACCATTCGCATTCGGGTTTGCCATCAAAGTCGACGTTCCACTCGACGCGGCCGCACGCCCCAATATTGAGCTCCCTTGCTTAGACTGCTTCTGAATATTTATTATTATTATAATTAATAAAAAATAATAACAATAAATAATAATAAATAACAACAAATAATAATAATAAAGGCGCCTTTTTACTTTGGGGGGTCGCACGCGAGCACGCTCGCATACTATAGACGACGCTTTCACATCGACCGGGGCCACGCCCACTGCGCACGACCTCAGCCCAAGCGTAGTCTCAGCCTAAGCCTAAGCCTGAGCTCGCTTGCTAGCCTCTGCTGTAGCATCGAGCGATCTGAGGCTACGCTTAGATGAGCCTCAGGTCACCTTAGGCTGAGGCTATGCGCAGTAGGCGTGGCCTTAGTTCCTATAAACGAACGTGCTCGCGCGCGTGTCCCCCAATGTAAACAAGCGCTAATAATAAATAACAATAAATAACAACAAATAATAATAAATATCAAAAACCTACCGTATACCCCATTAACCTCAGCTGATCCGATGTGCACGNCGCGCGTAACGCGTCGCGTCTTCGCTGATCCACCTTTAGAATACTCGACAAATCGCCTACTTCCGATTCAAACTCCAGGTATCGATCCCAGATCTCACTTCAAATATTTATTATTTATTATTATATATTATTATTACTATTACTATCATCATTATTACTATTATTACTACCATTACTATTATCATTACTATTATCACTATTATTATCATTATTATCCTTAATATTACTACTAACATCATATACACCACCATACAATACCCAAAACCAAAAAAGTCCCTGCCCGGAATCGAACCCGCCACCCCCCTGCGCCACACCAAAATTCCCTCTGCGCCAGCCAAATGGCTCAGTGCGAATCTCGAAAACCACTGCACCGAGCGACCCAGGTTCGATTCCCACCAGAGACAAAAAAGTTTTGCAACTTCATAAACCTCTAAATTTTCACTATTTAACCTAATCTCAGCCAATTTTTCGTGATAAAAATTAATCCCTCTCATTGCAAATAATATTATTCACCATTACAAAACAAAAAATACAAATCTAAAAATCTCACAGCGATTTCTCCGGCGGCATCGTTCCCGACGTTAAT